TTATTAAGGCCCCTATATTAGCTGGGCATCTGGGTCCCGAGATTAGGACGTAGGGCTTAGGGTTTAAGACAGTCTGTCCGGTAATCACAGCCATAAGACGAGTGCGTCAGCATCTAAGCACATTAGCAGCATAAACCGAAGTAGCAGGAGGCATAGACACAGCGACACTATGTACTGAGATCAATGGCAATGACATTAACGACAGCCACTGCAGCAATAAGAAGAGCAACAGTGCCAAGAACAGTAATGGTTATAACTTGTAAGTCTATCAAAAGTAATACTGAGACAATGACAATAGAAATTGAAGTAGCTGTACCGATAGTACACAGCAGGGAAAGCAATCATAGTGATCATGAGAATAGTCGAGTAGTAGTGGCGCAGCCAGGTGTGGTGTGTTTTAAATAGAGATGTGAGGACCATCCCACAGTTAGACCTTGAGCAGTGTGACCCCTCACTGCCAGGACAAACACCATACCCCGCCAGTATTGTGAGATGCCACTGCCCAATTATCGCACTCCTTATAGTACCCTCTTATAATACTCCTTACAGTACACTACTGCAATACTCCTTATCCTACCCTATTCTAGCACCCCCCTTTTTGTTACCCTTCTCTTCGGAGCCTTCGGGCGAGTGCATCCCTAGACTCCTCTGCTCTCAGACCTGCACCCTAAACCCTAAACCNNCCCTAAACCCTAAGCCCTCAAAAAAAAAACCTAAACCCTGAACTCCTGAAGCCGGATCCATGACATGGAAGCCTCGGGCCTGACACCATTTTTCGGCCTTCGACCTCCAAGTAATTATTTAGGGTTTAGGGGTTTAGGGTTTAGGGGTTTAGGGTTTAGGGTTTAGGGGTTTAGGGTTTAGGGGTTATGGGTTTGGGGTTTAGGTTTTAGAGTTTAGGGTTTAGGGGCCGAAATAACTATCAACACTATTCTGGGGGGCTCCTTAGTAAAACTATAGAATCATGGGCCCCAAAACCCTATTCTAATTGTGAAGGCCCCTGTATTTATTAAGCCCCACAAATGCCAAAGCCATATTAGGCCAAAGACTCGAAACTCCAAGTGCCCAACTCCTAGATTTGGCAAGCACTCCCAGGCAAGGGCCCAAGTGGATACGCCCAACAACACCGGAGCCACTCCGCTCTTCATCGCATCTCAGCGCCTGGGACGAAGCCCAGGGTTTGGGATGAATTTATGTAGTTCTCTGAATTAAGTTTCCTTTTCGGGTCCTTTTTGTAAGGGTGCCGTACTATATTGGGGACCTAAAAAAGGCACCCTAACTTAGAGAACTACCCATGTAGGGGCCTAAGTAGTTACCAATACTCTTTTTGGAAGGGGTTCCTTAGTATAACTATACTGTATAGTAGAACGGACCCCAAAACCCTATTCTAGTTAAAGAAGGGGCCTTTATTATGGGGCTTAGCGCTTGAGGTGTTTTCGGGTCACTGGGGCTTTCGGATTTTGGGTGTTAGGTGGGACTAGAAGCCTCTGGGTCTACGAAAACGATGCAGCTGATGAGATGACTGCACTCGCTAGCACGGAACTTACGTGGCAAGTACACGCCCAATATAGACAGCCTCATGAGTTCCCAACATCATTCCCTTATAAGGTTCCTTCTTGTAAGTATGCAGGTTATTACGCCCCGATAACTCCGGTTCTTGTCAAAGCAGCCCGGGTGTTTAGATGCAGTGACCGGGTTCGCAGTGACGCGCCATCATCGGTGTCAGTGGAACTTACATGGGTAGTTTTCTAAGATAGGGTCCCTTTTTCAGTCCCTATGTAGTACGGCACCCTTATAAAAAGGACCCCCAAAGGAACCCTAATTTAGAGAACTACCTACATGGACCCCAGAGAGTTGGTTGGTGAAAGCCTCGTTGAAGGAACCTGGGAGTTTGTCCCTCCCCCCGTGGGGTTTAGGGTTTAGGGTTTAGGGTTCAGGGTTTAGGGTTTAGGGTTCAGGGTTTGGGGTTTAGGGTTTAGGGTTTAGGGGGTTTTGAGATTCTTGAGTTGTTGATCTAGAGGTTGGGTTTTGGGACTTTGCAGCTCATGTTACTGCAAGCTTGCTCGTGGATTTCCGTGACAGCTTCCAAGGAACGATAAGCGGAAGATCGCGAAGAAACTGACGCTTGGCATAGCGTTTGCTGGTAACGGACAGCTTTGCTAAACCCTAAACCCTAAACCCTAAACCCTAAACCCTAAACCCATCGCCCATCGAAGATACTCCAAGTTCGGTGGTTGCCCTGATGTTGCAGGATCACGTGATGAAGTAAGCCGTCCTGCGTTTAGAGTTCCATGCAACACAGACCTGATCCCAGACACTGAACCCTCCACGAACACTTGCTATGACTTTGGCGGTTCCTACTACTTTTAGTTTTAGTACCACTATATGTTCGAACAGCCATGTGGTTACACAGCTGAGCAAGGGGGTGTGCCCGGCATCTCTGCCCGGGCTTGAAGTTCTCGGAAGTGGGCACCCTCAAGTTCTTGTGACGGCAAGACAGGGGTAGTTGTCTAAACAAGGGTCCCTGTTAGGGTCCTTTTTATCAGGGTGCCCTACTAGTTGGGGGACCTAAAAAGGGACCCCGATTTTGAGAACTGCCCATAGGTAGGACTACTAGTATCAGTGTGGACAACGCAATTACAGACATTCGGCTGTTCGGGGCCATTATTCTGGCGCTGACGGCAGCAGGAATGATCATTCGTGATGTTCAAGCCCGCATAACCATCATGACAATACTCACGAGAAGCATGTTTTCAAAACAGATTGATGGTTGCACCCCAGCTCACATAGCCTGGTAAGAAAGTAACAGACTCAACTACCCAGCCATCAGAATTCGCAAAGCCAGAATTCGCAAGATCTGCATGCTCATTGGAATTGTTAGGAGCAATCATGCATACGTGACCAGTGATACCGGCCATCGTCGGGGTGCACAGAGTATCATGACAACTCCATGGGCATCATCTTCATCTTCAAAAGGACCGGAACGACCCTAATATAGAAGCCTAAATCATTACCTATATTTTTTAGGCTTCCTTATTATGATTAAAGTATAATGGGCACCAAAGCTCTATTCTGATTATGGACGCCCCTACATTAGCAAAAATCATCACCCTTAACCCCAGCTTTCGTGGCTGTCAAAACGACAGCTAAGTCGTCACTCACGATACCGATATGGGAGTTTCATAGATATGTTATCGGATATTTGTGCGTGTGGACATACTTAATACGTAGACTATGTAGATATACTGAACATGCTTTGGCTTAGGGCTTGGCGTCTAGGGTTTATAGGGTTGTGTAAACCCCAAACCCTAAGCCTAAACCCTGAACCCTAAAACCTGAACCGTTGAGGGTTTTAGGGTTCCTTTCTCTCGCCAGCCCTCGGCAAGGATAGATCTGAGGGCCGACGTGAACAGCGTCACCACGGGCGGAGCCACTCCGATGTACATCGCGGCGCAGCGCTTTGGCCTCGCGAAGCCGGGATCTGGGACAGAGTCGGGAACTGAGGAAACCATACATAGAGGGTCTTGAGCCAAGAACCCGTAGATGGTCCTGACAAAACCATACATAGAGGGTCTTGAGCCA